GCTCGGAGGAGGAAGAGGAAGAGGAGGAGGAGGAAGAGGAGGAGGAGGAGGAAGAAGAGGAGGAGGAAGAGGAGGAGGAAGAGGAGGAAGAGGACGACGACGACGACGACGACGACGATGACGACGATGAGGAAGAGCGGCGCCGCTTCCGGCGGGAGGGGGCGGGGCCTGGAGGGAGGACACGCCCCTCCTCTGAGGGATCGGCCAATGGCGGAGCGGCGGTGGTGGAAGGGGCGGGGCCAGAGGTGGCGGCAGCGGCGGCGCTCGGGGACCTGGGAAAAGAGGGAGGGGCTTAGGAAAGGGGCGGGGCTTAGAAAGGGGGCGGGGCTTAAAGAGGTTTAAATATACAAAAAGGGGTGGGACTTTATAGGGTTAAAATAATAAAAAAAGGGGTGTGGCTTAGTAAAGGGGGTGGGGTTTAATGGGGTTAAAATAATAGGAAAAGGGGTGTGGCTTAGTAAAGGGGCGGGGCTTAAATTGTTAAATAATAGAAAAGGGGTGGGGCTTAATGGGTAAAGAATTTAAAAGGGGTGGGGCTTAATGGGGTTAAAATAGAACAAGGGCGGGGCTTAATGGGTAAAATAATAGAAAAAGGGGCGTGGCTTAATGAGTAAAATAACTAAAAAGGGGCGGAGCTTAAAGAGGTTTAAATAATATAAAAGGGGTGGGGCTTAATGGAGTTAAAATAATGGGAAAGGGGCGGGGCTTAATGGGGCTAAAATAGAAAAGGGGCGGGGCTTAATGAGGTGTTTAATAAATAGAAAGGGGTGGGGCTTAAAGGGGTTATAATAATATAAAAGGGGTGGGGCTTAGTAAAGGAGGCGGGGCTTAAACGGGTTTCAATAGTCACAAAGGGGTGGGGCTTAAGGAGGTTAAAATAATAGGAAAGGGGCGGGGCTTAATGGGTAAAGAATTTAAAAGGGGTGGGGCTTGATGGGACTAAAATATACAAAAAGGGGTGGGGCTTAATGGGGTTAAAATAGAACAGGGGCGGGGCTTAATGGGTAAAATAATAGAAAAAGGGGCGGGGCTTACTGAGTAAAATAACCAAAAAGGGGCGGAGCTTAAAGAGGTTTAAATAGTAGAAAGGGGTGGGGCTTAATAGGGTTAAAATATTGGGAAAGGGGCGGGGCTTAGTAAAAGGGGGCGGGCCTTAAGAGGGTTAACATATTCAAAAAAGGGGCGGGGCTTAAACGGGTTTAAATAATTGAAAAGGGGTAGGGCTTAATGAGGTTAAAATACTATAAAGGGGCGGGGCTTAGAAAGGGGGCGGGGCTTACA